GGCTTCGTCCTCTCCACGTGAGAGAAGGAGCTTCTGCTCCTCCTCTTCTACAACCAGGGAGCAAGCGGAGGCCTCACGGAGATTGTTATAGAGTCTCTTCAGCCCGGTGGGATTTGAAGCCTGCAAGACTTCCATGTGCTGCTCTCTGCCAGCGTGTTATTGTCTACAGGTCTATTTATCTCTGTTAGGGCTGTTGCCATAAATAGTATGATAAAAAAGAGCCATTCCGGCGAGTCAATGAGATAAAGGCTCCAGTCAAGAGCTCACTTTAAAGCTATCTTACAGATTCACTTAAACCTCCATAATTCTTCCTTTGGCAGCACTCATATTTAGCTCCATTATACTCCAGAAAAAAAAAGAAAAAACCCCAAGGGGGTGAGGAGAACTGACACCTGATTATGGCCATTAACACCGAAAGGCCAGATCTCCTCTGTGCCCTGGGAGGAGAGTTGGAAGAAGAAGATGTTCCCCAGATGTCCTGAAGCAGAAAGTCGCCGAGGGATGCCGGTGCTGTGCCGCAGTCTGATGTCCGGCTTGAAACGCTGGTCGTTCTGCCTTGGTTTCCCAGCGGGCACTCCTCTGCCTGCTGGAAGCAACTGAATTTCACTCCGCTCCAAGGACACCTGCAATAGGAAAACAGGGCGAAGAAGCCTGTGGAGCTTCGTGGCGTGCCGGGAGCAGTCCTGGTGACTTCGGCGTGCTCGGAGGCTTGCGTTCCTGATGGCGGGAGTGGGAGAGAGCTGGGAGCCCCAGGAGTGAAAACTGCCCAAAGCGCAGCCGGCGGCCACCCCAAAGTCCCGTTCCTGGCCCTGCCACGCTCCTCAGCTCCGGGAGGCGGCGATTAATGAACTATGTGGTTTTGTTTTAATTAGAATGGAGGCATCGTCTTGTTACTGCCTGTTACTGCCTTACGGTTTTGTTTCTGTGCAGGTGACGAATTCACGGCTTGCAGGGGCCCCGGCCGAGCAGCGGCAGAGTGCCCGGCTCACCCTGCGCATGGGACCTGGCAGCTCTGGGTTGTGTCCCCGTGCAGGCGGGACTGGGAATTGCTCCCGAGATACTTGTGGTTTGTCTTTCCTCTGATCACAGAATATTTTTCAGTGCCTAACCTGGAGTTTGTGCCCGATACCTGGTCGCGGTGCAGAGCATCATCCGCGGTCCTGCTGAGAACTCCCCCCTGCCCTGGCCGAGGCTCTGCCCTCCCGTTTATCTCGCCCCTGGTCGGCCGTAGCCCCCCGTGCTTTGACACCTTCCCGGGTGCTGTCGGTGCTCTGATGTGTGCTCGTGTGTGGCAGGTGCTCCCCGAGGGAC